TGTGTGTGTGTGTGTGTGTGTGTGTGTGTGTGTGTGTGTGTGTGTGTGTGTGTAGGTGTCTGCAGAAGCCAGAAGAAGGCTTCAGAGCCCCTGGGGTGTGAGCTGCCTGACATTTGTGCTGGGAACCAACCTGATGTCCTAAGTGCTCCGAACCACTGAGCCATATCTTCACCACCTCGTTATGAATGTTTTAATACTCAAAGGGGCATTTGAGACCCAGAACTCTGGCCTAAAGACTCCTGTATTTTGTTTTATAATTCTCTTTTCAAACCATCTTCCTTTCCCCTGATAATACTAATTTTTGATTTTATTAGCCTATTAGATTGAATGCGATTAACAGAAAACTAGGTTTCTTGGCTGTTTCCTCCTTTGGGCCTTTGGCTGCCCCCTATTAAACCTCAAAGTCTTTTTCTCAGTCTGAGAATGTCACACCAATCAAGGTTTTCTTATAAAACCAGTGGGCCAGAGAAAGGCTCCCAAGGAGGAGTAAATGGAATGATGTAGTTAGTTAAAACTAGTGTGGAGGAAAAGGGGCCTTTCCCAACGCAGCCTGTTATTATGCTGACAGATTAGAAATCTGAAATCTCCATCCTTCTATCTCCCACATTTCTGGTTTTGAATCTGCCTACCTGGTGATTAGGTACATGAACACAGCCCTCTGCCTACTCACACTATAAAAATATACTAGCATTTCAGTCACTTTCTTGACATCAGCTGATTAGTATGTATAAGAATCTGTTTCTCCCTTCTGATGGGCTGATGTCTTAGACGTACCTTGCAATTATTTTGGAGTCCTGCAGGAGCCTGTGGGACTTTGGTGGTTTAGTCCAACTATCTGTGTCGAATGTTATGTTAGGATTTATATTACTCTACTTTCTTTTACCTGAAATAGAGTTACACTAGAAATGAAGATCTTCCAATTTGTGAGAGGTTCATTTCTGGGAAGAAAATGATTCTTAAGAAAGGAACTAAGGCCAAGTAGGGCACGGAGGTGCACATCTGTAATCACAGCACTTGGTAAGCTGAGAAAGGAGGATTGCCATGAGTTTGAGGCTAGTTTGGGCCACATTGTGAATTTCAAGCATTATAGTAAAAGCTTGTCTCAAGAAGCCAAAGAAACAGGTTAAAGAAGGGCAATGAAATAAATAGTTCAGTGCGTTTCTTTGAAAAAAAAAAAAAAGTATTCAACAAAGAATTCCTTTGCCAAAAAACAGGAAATGCATCAGCAGAAAGGAAGAGGCACGAGACAGAGGCCAGGCAGTCAACTCTCCAGCTACTGAAGTTGGATACAAACAAGAGGTTTTGCTATTAGGTTTTTCATTAAATCAATTATTGTAAATAAAATTATAATTTCCTAATTACCTAAAAATGTGTTTGAAGTATTCAGTTATTTGGCTTTGAAAGATTGCCCTAACCTTAGTAGTAGGTTACATGTCTTGTCTATTTTCAATCCCTAAGGCAGGCTCTGGGCCTTGATCCCCTGTAGAAATCCAAAGATTTTAAGTCAATTGAGAGGCCATGAATATACTACCAAAAAAAAAAGTTTCCTAGAAGTAATCATGGGGTGCACCTTCCAGGGATCTCCCCAGCAGGGACATTACTACACACACATAAAAGTGAGTGTAAAGTCCCGGGCACGGCTCAGTGGGTAAAGGTGCCTGCCACCCAGTTTGTCAACCTGAGTTTGAGTCCTAGGACCCACAGGATGGAAGGAGAGAACTGACTTCTACAAGTTGCCTTCTGACCTCCACATACATGCATCACCCCCAGCATACAAAATAAATGAATGTAAAAACAATTTTTTTTTGAGTGCATGTACATCCTTCATGTAGGCAAAAGAAGGGATCAAGACTGTGTGCAGATACTGGAGCCTACTCACTGAGTGTGAGCAGAGTTTAAAATGGAGGTCTTTCCCCGCTTCTCTGGGTTTTATTCCCTGAGGGGATGGAACTCCTGATGCTAACTGTTTTCTGCCCTGTGCCAGCTCGTCACTGTACACTCGGTGATTCGTTGTTGGCAGCGAATGACTAAAATGGAAAAGTTGGACTCGGTCATCATCATCAACAGAGTAACAGCTGCTCTGAGGTGACAAGTCCATTCACTATAAGTAGAGGAAGCCATGAAAACAGTGAGGTGGGACTGTCTCAGGGCTGTGAACTCTAATACCCACAGGGACAGGGATGTGACCGGAGTTGGCTGGAGTGATGGCAGGGAGTCATGGGGAATGTTGTTAAGGCTAGAAAACCTCGTCTTATGAATCGGAATGGACCACAATGCCGATAGCAGGCTTTGAGGAAAATAAAACAGAAAGACAATGAGATGTCAGGAGTTTTGGTGTGTGTGTGTGTGTGTGTGTGTGTGTGTGTGTGTGTGTGTGAACACAACCATCACTGAAGCTTTAGACTGGGTTTAAACAGAAAGAAGAGTTCAAGTTTGCAGAGGACGAGAGCAGTGAACACACAGGTCACTAAGGGTCACCTGGGGAGGTGACCCATCCTTGGAGAGCCAGTTCCAAAGGCCTCCCCTGCCTCCAGTTCTTACCAACCATTCGGATGACCTGTTCTCACTGCAAGAAAACAGTGTCTGGCAGACAGCATCGAGGGATAAAGACACAGGGTCTGAACCTCTCCCAGCTCAAGGCTTTGCTGGAGATGGACTCTGGCTCCATTTCTATGTTTAGTTTGGAATTCCTTGTCTTTTTCTCCCCTTCACAGTGAAGCTAGCCACACTGGTAATTTGGAAGAGGCGCTAATTCTATTTGCTGATTCTTCTGTTTCCCCAATTAATCCAGAAACAAGAAAGCTGATCCCTTTTCATATCATGACGAAGAATTTGGGAATCCCATTTATCATTTATCAATTACCAGAAATGGGACAAATATGTTTACTGGTGTCATGTGAAAACAAGTGTAAACATCTCAGTTTTTTTCTCCAAAAATTGTTATCTATTTACTCTGTGTGTGTAGGTGCATGCGTGGGCTTGTGGGCACGCACACACACATGTAGTGGGAGCAGGCTCTCTCATGTAATGGCACACATGTGGGGCCGGAGAACAACTTTGGGAGTCAGTTCTTGCCTCTGCTGCTGCTGGGGCCACCAGGCCAGCCGGCCTGTGAATCTTAACACATTTTGCCTCCACTTCTGGTGGCCCCGGTGGCCCCGTAGGAGGGCTGGGATGACAGATGCATGCCAGTGCGTCAGCATTTCACCCAAGTTCTGGGGCTGGAGCCAGGTCATCAGGCTTGAGCAGGAAGTGCTTTTATCTGCCGAGCCTTCTCCTTGGCCCAAAGGTCTCAAATCTTTTCTTTTCTTTTCTTTTTTTTTTTAAATCACACTGGTTTTTGTGTCATGCGCACACTCATGGGTGCTCTCCCGCACATGCGCACAAATGCCACAGTGCACCCATAGAGGCCAGAGGACAGCTCGCCACAGTCCGGTTCTCTCCTTCCACTGTGTGGGGGTTTGGGAGATCGAACTCAGGTGGCCAGGCTTGGTAGCTGGTGCCCTTACCTGTTTAGCCATCTTACTGGCTGGGAAGTCTCAAATCTTGACCCCATTTTAGAGCAAATGGGCAATGAGAGGGTGGGGCTTAGCCTCAGCCTGCCCTCGCTCCTACACCCTCCATACCAGGGGCCAACAAGAGAGCTTGGCCTCTGCCGACACCTTCCAAGTCTCATTCCCGCCTGCAAGGGTTTGGCTGGCTTTTATTCTGTGATCTTGTTAAGAGGCTTCTGAAACTGGGGAGTTTTTTTCCAAATGGATTAGACTCCCAGATATGAAAGCAGAGGCACTTGAGGGTGAAAGTCTTGTTCTTCATTAAAAGAGAATTAAACCGATGACCTTTCTCTCGGGCTGCTGCTTACCCGGCTGACTTTAGTTTTCTCGTAGTCACAAAGGTCTCTGCCCACATTCTTTCTGCTCCACACAGAGTAAGAGTATGGCAACCTCACCAACCAAAATGTGCAGCCATATGTGCATCCACTGTAAGAATGTTAGGCAACCACTATTGCATTTGAATGGCTTAGGCTATTCATATCTCATGTTATCTTCAGAACTTCTGGACTTCAATCTATAGCTTTGGCCTTTTTTGTTTTGCAAACTGAGTTTCACGAACAGTGTAGCACAATTTGGCTTTGAACTTGGAATCTACTCCAGCCTCTTGAGTGCTAGGATTACAGGTGTAAACCTCTATGCCTGGCTATAGGTTATATTATTCAGTATTTAATCCAGGAAATGCCTTATATTGTTTTTTTAAGGCCTCTTTTAATTTATTTACATATTCTTAAAATTATTTTTAAAATGTGTACGTGTGTGCATTTGCTTGTTTGTATGTGCACCCTATGTGTGCAATACCCTAAGAGGCCAGAATAGGGCACTGGATCTCTTGGAACTGGAGTTACAGATGGTTGTGAGCCACTTGATATGGGCACTGGGGACAGAGCCCTGGTCCTCCACAAGAGCAGCAGGTGCTCTTAACCACCAAGTCATCACCCCAGCCCCATCTTTACATACTCTTATGTTCTTTATGCAAACAATACATTTGAATAAAAGGACCGTTCACTTCATCATCATAATGAGAAAGCAGTATCATTCACCAACATCAAACACACAATGCAAAACCAGCAATGAAATTAACTTCTGAGTGGATACTGTTGTCATCACTGACAACTGAAAGCCTCTTAATTTACTAAGAAGGGAGCTAGCAGAAGTTAAAGAACAGTAGCAAGAAGCAGGCCCGAGGACCAATGAGAAGAGTGAGCCCATCCATAGTGCCCACGCCTCACTACAGTTGGTCTCACACCATGGGTAGAACCCGCCCCCTCCTGTCAGCAGATGAGCTGCATGTCTCCTCTGTATGGGCGGGCGGGCAGGCGGATGGATGGACGGATGGACAGAAGGTGGCTTACCATTTGTCTGAGAAACGCCATCAGAGGGGTCCTCCGGGGTTTGTTTTCTTCTTTAACTTTTACATCTGTGGGTTCGGGCTGGGCCTCTTCTTCATTGAGATCCACAGTTTGTAAGGCAGGCTCTACTCCCTCAAACCTTACAGTTTCTACTGGTGGCTCACACACCGCCTGGATTGTTTTGCCAGGTAATAAGAAAGTAAAACAAAACAAAACAAAACAAAACAAAACAACCCCTGCTACCTAAATATTCCCCCGGAACATGTTTATGGAGTCTTGGTTCTCCCGTCTGCAGAGTAGCTGAGGGTTTGAACCTGTGACTAGTTTCTGTGTAGGCAATCTTCAAGAGGCAATATTCAGGATGTACTTAATGAGCTCACAGACAGGTGATTGCTGATCATTGGACAGACAGATGGACAGGCAGACAGATAGATAGGAGTGGAGTTGGCAAGTTCCTTCCCCATGAAGGTGCAAGACATAGACAGGAGGAGTCCCTTCCACCCTTTCTAGTAAGTCTCCCTTTGGTCTGCCCCAGAACAACCACATTCAGCCTGTGTAGAGATCCTGTGGTGGTTTGAATGAGAATAGCCCCCAGTTGGTGGAACTATTTGGGAAGGATTAGGAGGTGTGGCCTTGTTGAATGAGGTGTTTCACAGTTTTGAGGCACCCCATTCTAGTTAGTTCTCTCTGTGTGTCTCCAGCTCGTGGATCAGATGTGAGCTCTTGGCTACTGTCCTACCACCATTCCTGCCTGCCTGCTTCCATGCTTTCCATCATGATGGTCATGCACTAACCCACTGGAGTGATAATCTGGACCCTAATTAAACACTTTCTTTTATAAGTTGCCTTGGTCATGGTGTTTTATCATAGCAATAGCACAGTGACTAAGGCAGAGCAGGAATAATCAGGCCACATATGTCAAATTCTTCAGCCTGTGCTAGGTAACATAAACACTCAGCTAATGCTACTGGTTCTTACTGGTTCTTACTGGTGTTAACATTAAACCCATTTGCTCCATGACCACAATGACCTGGAGCATCCAATGGTTTACAGGTCCATTTAGAGATGTTTATACCAGTTACTACCTCTTTTGATGTCTGTGGGACAAGGTACTTCTTATATATGACCTTGGGGCATAGCTACAAAAGTAATGTTATCCCCATCTTACAAATGAGGATTATGAACAAGTGACTAACTTGGCTAATGAACTGCTAGAGGGCGGCCGCCATTTTGAGGAGGATGGGTTTCCTGCTGGCAAATGAAGCCGAAGGCCTGACAGCAAGATGTTCTCACATCTGTCTGCGGCTCTGCCATCCTCTAGGAACTGAGACCCTTTCCAGCCTTTGGCTTTGCTGTCCATGGTCTGTGGGACTTACATTTGCTACCTCGTGGTCATAAAAGAGCTGTTGCCACAGCAGGTAGAAGAGTCGGAGATGGCTCTTGAGTAGGTAAGGACAGACTTTGACCTCCTGACCCTGGGTTCCGAATTATTCTGTCTTTGAAGCATTGCAAACCTTTGTGACAAGAGCCTAGAGGGAAAAAATCACTCCTAATAAGACAGTCTGTGGCACTTATGGGAATTGTGCCATAATGACGGAACGTGAGTGGACGTGCTGCAAACCGTGACCTGGTGGATGCTTCAGGAGCCCCGGCAAGGCTCGCCCTCGCACTTTCAGCAACGGCAGCCAGTAATGCTTTTTTCTTTTGCATCCAGGTAGGTTTTTGTTTTCTTCACGTGAAACTGACAGGTCCCTTACTAAGAAGTACCTGTTGCTTTGATTTTATACATTTTAGCAAGGGAAGATTAGTTTCATTAGTTATAATAATTTAACCAACCAAGGCCAAAACATTTTCATGTTATACCTGAGCTATTCCATAACTGCTATAGTCAAGACAGATATTTTTTTTCCAACTTTTTTTTCTGAGTCAGGGCCTCTCTAAGTAGCCCTGGCTGTCCTGGAACTCTCTATGTAGACCAGGCTGGTCTTGAACTCACCTGCCTCGGTCTCCTGAATGCTGGGATTAAAGGTGAACACCACTATGCCCAACTATTTTTCAGCCTTGTAAATGTTTATTTACTTGTGTGTGTGTGTGTGTGAGAGTGCACGCGTGTGTGCACAGCAGACACTCTCAGGAGTCGGTTTTCTCCTTCTACCACGTGGATCTCAGGGATCAAACTCACACTGCCAGGCTTAGCAGCAAGTGCCTTTACCTGCTGAGCCATCCTGCTGGCCCAGCTTTTACTTTTTATGGGTTAGAATCTGATTTTAGAAGAAGGTCTAAACTTTCATGGTCTTCAAGGCTCTATTTCCTTGATCTATCTCCATGAAAACCTGAAGGTTGACGTCACCCCCACCTTTAGCTCAGGGATCCCAGTGGACTATACATGGGCTGACAGGCTGCTTTTGGAAAGTATGGGGAGAGAAACTAGACAAAACGAGGCAGTTCAACCGCATTCCCCAGAAGTCACTGGTCACCAGGCTCTTGGAACAAGGTTAGTGGCTTCCAGCTGTCCTGCAGCGAGGGTTAGAGGACTGGGCACTGCTGTGGCGAATGAATGCTGTTGCTTTCCAGAGAAGAAGAAATGAACTCATGTTTCACGCACTCCTCACTCCACCTGGATGCCCAGCCGCTGGGAAAGCATCACTTCCCCGGGAACTGGACACTGATGGCAGGACCGGCCTTCACTGTGTCACCTGCCACTCACCAGCAGCTGCTGCTGGGGGCAGCCAGCTGTCCCTGCCAGAGGTGTTGCCGGTCTCAGTCCACCAGGAAAACATCCAGAGACAATGCGGCTATGTGGATGTGGCTGAGTTCTAAGAACACTTTGCCAGTACTGGCATTTGAATTTATGTGATTTCCACATGTCACGATAATATTTTTCTTTTGTTTTTTTTTTCAGCCATTAAAAAATATAGAAACCACCTTTAACTTGTGGGCCAGATTAAAAAATAGGTGGTAGACCGGATTTGGTCTGTGAACTGTAGTTTACTGATGTCTAAATTCCCATCTCATTTAATTCTCACAAGAGCCACAAACTGGTTCCATCAGTATCCCCATATAAAGGATAAGTAAACTGAGGTTCAGGGGGAAATGTGATCTGGAGATAATGGTGCCTGGGTCATAGCTGTTTATCTTCATTCCCTCCAAGTGATGGGAAGCTAGATGGTAAATGTGGAGCCTTAAAATTGGAAATGCAAGGTAAAGGGCTAAGCAAGGGGAAAAAAGCAATGTATAAAATGTTTCTTCATTTCATGAAAAATGTCTTGCTTTCCTTCTGTGTTACTTTTTGATACTAGGAATTTATCTACTAATTCAGCTATATTCCTGTTTTAAGCATATGGTACAAAGTGAAATGTGCTTGGTTGTTTCAGGTCAACTCCAGATTTTGTACTTGAGCTGCAAGGAATACAGGGATCCTAGGATGAATGGAAACACTGATTTTCACCAAATGTTTCTCTTTAGAGAACTCAGTCTGTGAGCAGACTTGTGCTTTTCAGGTTGACAGGAGAGAAGATTCTGGCTTCTTAGAAAATACCAGGAAAGTTCACAAGAACTTTCTAGAATCAAGAGAGGAGGCCTGAGCTTTGCTGAGCTATTAACTTTGACTCAAGAAATAACAGAGGAAAGGATAGAATGAAAGAAAGAGTGAATGAATGGACAAAAGAATGTATGAAGGAACAGGACCAAGAGATTGTCGAGACTTTTCTCTTAATAAGAATAATAACACTTCTAGAGGAACAATGGGAACTCACTGGACATGGGATGGGAAGAAGAGGAAGGACAGGAACATGGGAGTAGCACTCAAAGTACATCATATACTTGTATGAAAATGTCCTTATGTGATTCAATACCATGGGAAGTGAATAGATGCTGATGAATATAGAATACATATAAAAGGAATCATACACAGCCATTCCAGTGTTCACCCCTATCATGACTAACATTTTAGGGAAAATGTTTGGATTTCCAACATCCATTTGGTTCCAGTAACTAAATAAAAATGAAAACATATACACTGTTCATGGTAAGTGAACAAGAGACTCCAGAGGAGGCAAGTACATTTACCCTTGACAAAGTGATCACGTCCTTTTGTTGTCTTAAGAAGCTGTACATTCACTTACCCCAATCATAAAAATGTCCAGTCTGTATCGCTTTCAGTATTGAGAGCTGGTGTCTTCGGCCTGGAGCTGCCAAGGCCCCTTTTAGTAATCTCTCAGGATGAGATTTTCAAAAGACACATTGTGTGTGTGTGCGCGCGTGCGTGCGTGCGTGTGTGTGTGTGTGTGTGTGTGTGTGTGTGTGTGTGTGTGCATGAGAGAGAGAGAGAGATCTCATACAACACCATTCCTTTGGACATGAGTGAACTGTTTTAAAATTTTTGACTACCTCTAGAAGATTAAAGGCCAGAAATATCTGGCCATCAGTCTATCAGACCCCTGGGGTCAGCTCTCTGGTAGAGACAATAGTCTGGATTATTGCTGTAAGACATCCTCATGCCTGATACAAATGGCTGGATCTGAGTACCACCCAAAGTTAGTGAGAATCTGGATAACCATGGAAACGAAAGTGAAGAAGTAGTCAAGGCAGAACAAAGCAGAAGATGCAACCCCATCCCTTAAGAATGTGCAAAGCCATTACTATGTGGAGTAGACTCGTTCAGCCCCTGAAGGATGACAAGCTAAAAAAGGGATGCTCTGATTTTGGATCTACTTTTGTGTAGATTCAATGGGAATGATAAAGAGTTGATCCAATGTTGGTCCCCCGCACCTTGGCCCCTGATCATGGGAAGGGATGAAAGAGTCTACAGTGGATACAAAACACAGGACATGCAAAACAAGGGATCCCCGAGCTGAACACCCAATGGCCCGACACACCGAAGATGACAATGATTTAAGATGATTTGAGATGTCATGGAGTCACTTACATTCTCCTCTGCACCTGTGGAAAGTGAATCCTCTTTAACTGACTAGAGGAAGATAAAAACAAAAACAAGAGTCAAGATGTTACCAAAGTAAGTCACCCAAGAGCAAAGGGTCATCTGGTCTACCAGTCCATAGGGTAGTTCTCACATACTGAACTGTTAATGTAGACCTTGTTTGAGCAAGAATTTGAAGGAGGCTTCCACAAAGGCAAACAGTATAGCAAGATGATAAAAGTTGTGTATTTCAAGATGCAACAAACAAAGAATAAACACAGTGTCACAGGTAGGGTATGCTTGGAACAGGAATGATTGTCACAGAAAACGCTAGCTGCAGAGTTGTGGCTGTGGGAAAGAACATATTTGCTTCACATTTTCTAGTAGCCAATAAAAACAAAACAATAATAATAACTATATAATAATATAAAACAATAGTTATTATTGTTGTTGCTGAATGTCATACATTTCATGCTAGCTTTGAATTTACTCTATAGTCAAAGACGACTTTGAATTTCTGATTCTCCTGCCTCCACTTTCCCAGGACTGTGATTCCAAGTGTGCACTACCACGTGCACTACTATCCTCACTTATATGATATTGGGGAGCAAATCCAGGGCTTCCTGCATGGCGGGCAAACATTCTACCAACTGAACTACATTCCTAGCCCAAGAGGGAAATACAGTCCTTCAACACACAGCTACTGTTAGGCAAAACCAGATAACTTCTTGAAATTCTATAAGAGAAACAGAGAAGTGTGCTCTGGGTCTTGAAGCAAGCAGGTACCCCCACCTTATAAGAGGGTCCCCAGCCTTATCTGACTGTAGTCCTTGGTCAGCACTGGGGGCTGCTCCCAACACTAACCCTTGGTCTTGGGCAACTCTGTCCTGCTCAAGTTCAACCTGGGTGGACTAGTCCATGGAAGACCAGGGCTTAGGGTTTCACATACTCTAATCCAGACACCCTGTTATCCCCCTGGAGTCACATGGCATTTAGAGTCCTTCCCCAAACAGGAGAGGGGGCATCCTGATTCTTCCAAAGGTCAAATGGAACCTCTGTCAGTTGGCTATGACTCTGGAAGTCATCTTGATAGCTTTCCTTCAGTGGTTCTTAAACCTTGGTGTGTGGGGCATTTGTGGATACAGACTGCCTTGAGAATTTCCCAGAAACAAAATACTTTGCAGATGATACCAGGATACTCACAGACCTTCTGTGTCTTTTTCTTAGATTCCAGGTTAAAACCATTTCCCTATACCCATTTTAGTCCTGCTTAGTAACAGGAAGGGGAAGAAGGGAAGAGATATTTACATATGCATCTCTCAGGTGCCTGACATGCTTTATCTCCCTTAATGTGTCTCAAGCAACAAGTATATGACCACCATTTACAGTGCAAGAAGCGACACAGAGAAGCCAAGTCACTTGCTCAGGTGAAATAGAGTGGAGGATACTGTTCTGAAAGTCAAGTCCCCAGCTGGTGACTGTGAACTTGCAAGCTTCCTAGCTAAGATCATTGGCTTAGACTGTTTGTTTCTGCCCATCTTATTTCCATATTGAGGACATCCTGGGCACAGAGGAACCCCAACATTTCTGAAAGTTTCTGTTGATGCGGAAATGATGCCACAGTCAAAACCATTTACAAGGGATGCTGCTGTCTTGGAGGGTGTGCTGGCTGGAGTTGGTCAACTTGACAGAAACCTAGACATATCTGGAAGGAGAAGATTTTAACTGAGCAAATGCCTCCATAACCTTGGCCTCTAGGCAAATCTGTGGGATATTGTCTTGATTAGTGATCAGTGTGGGAGGGCCCAGCTCTCTGTGGGTGTTGCCACCCCCGGGCAGGAGTTTCTGGGTTGTATAAGGAAGCAGGCTTAGCAAGCCATGGGGAGCAAGCCAGTAAGCAGCAGCCCTCCATTGCCTCTGCATCAGCTCCTGCCTCCAGGATCCTGCCCTGTTTGAGTTCCTGCCCTGACTTCCATCAATGATGGAGTGTGACCTGAGAGTTGTAAGCTGAAATAAACTCTTTCCTCCCAAAATTGCTCTTGATCATAATGTTTTATCACAGCAATAGAAAAGTAACTAAGACAGAGCCAACTTCTCTCTCTAGGCCAGTGGGGAGCTATTTAATATTACACACAGGTAATATTATATAGAATTAAAGACTCAAGGGATACCTGACCTCCTCAACTCCAACCTACAATAGCTTCTGGAGTCAAAATATTGTTTACATTAGGTTGAGGAAACATTACCCCCACCCCCTACCACCACACACACACCATTTAAAAGCAGAGCTCACAAGGTTTCAAGGCTCTTTCCCATCCCAGCTCTCTGTCATGAGGCCAGTCCTATCTGGATATTCCTGTCTGTAAGGTTCCTATATTGTCAGTTGCTCACTGTGTTCTAGAAAACACTGTCAGCTTGGTGTAGGTGACTGAGAGGGACAGGAGGAGTTCATTCTGATCTTCACTATGGCTTTAGATTTCCAGATCCTTCTGCCTGTTGGGGGGTTTGGAGTGTAGCTCAGGTGATAGCATGCTTGGTTAGCATGCACAAATCCGAGTTCCACCCCCAGCATCACATGAACCCGGCATGGTGGCACATGCCTCTAAAAATCCCAGCACTTGGGAGGTGGACCAGAAAGGTAAGATTAGCTACCTGGTGGGTTCATGACCAGTCTGAGATTGCTATGTTACACTTTGAAAGTCATACTATCCAGACATTCCCCTCCCGCTCCTATACGCATACTTTTTAAAGTGGTTTATTTGTGTGTGTCTCTCTTTGTGGTACAGCATGTATATGGAGGTCAGAGACCAACTTGTAGAAGTTCTCTCCATCCATCATGCAGGTCCCAGGGACCAAACTCAGGTCATCAGGCTTGGCAATAAGCACTCACTGAATCATCTGATTAGCCTGAACGTCCTTATTTTGAGAGCTCATGAGCGTCCCTCACACTTGAGCAATTTTATAGCATCTTCCAGTTCAAAACTGTCCTGTACTACTTGAATCTACTTTCTATTTTTCTCTACATTGACCGTAGTTTTGCTTAGATCAGACTGTTTATAATCAGAGCCTTTGCTGTGTCAACAGAACCACAAATAAATTAAGTTCTAAATGTAATGTCTGCTAATATCTAGCTGGCTGTTGTGGTCTATGCAAACTGACTCCTGTCTTCCATCAACCTCAAAGCCAAGAGCGTCACAAGACAGCATCCGGGGCACACACTCAGCTCTGCTGGAAGCTGATGTTTCCACTGATGTATTTCAAAACTTTGCTGATTTATGGCTTTGTTCTGCTAAGATAAAAACTTCATGAAACTGTGACTGTTGGGGTTTGGTGTTTCAGATAACCCAAGTCTGTGTTCCTGGGTCATGGTCACCAATAGTTAACTTCAGAGTAAACTCTTTCTCCCTTTGAGGTAAGAGCTGTGCTTTCCATGTCAACAGTGACTTAGTTGAGACCCTGTCTCAAACTAAAAAAAAAAAGGGTGCATGTGGGTGGATATGGGGTGGAGGGGATATGGTTCAGTGGTAGAGTACTTGCTTGCCTAGGTTCAATCCCCTGTATGTATGGTTTCTCTTTTTGTTTGTTTGTTTTGTTTTGTATACTAAAGTGGTGGCACAGTAAAGAATAATTTCTATTACCAAAAAGAGATCTCCTCTTAACGTCACCCTAAAGGATGAGATTAGAACAGAAAAGGGAAATAGCTATGCACCGTGTAATGTTAAGTGTTTCTAGGACTGTACGAAAGAACCATCAAATCTTTCTGAACCTTGTAGATGTTTACAAACTTGTCTGCAGCTGCAGCCTCCCAACCAGCAGCTACTGGAACACTGAGTTAGCATAAAGATTCAGAAGAGCCAAGAGGCCAGTTCCAGCCACGCCTTCACATCTGGTGTAAGAGAACATCAGCCCAGCACCCAAGTCCTGGACACCGTGACTGTAGGGGCAGGCTCAGGGTTAGTGTTCGGTTGTGCAACTCTGCTTGCATAACTTCCCCCTCTGGAAGGTGAGCAGGTGGAAGAAACAAGAACAGTGTCTGGAGTCAGGTACAGTTGGCCATAGACTCTGGAGAAGCTGGTGTGTAGGAAGCAGAGCAGAAAGACAGTGGTCAAGGGGAAAAAAGCAGAAAGAGCATTCACAGGAGGAAGTAAGAACTCCAGGAGTCTGCTGCCTCTGCAGTCAGTCTGCAGGAGTGGCTGCTGGTGGCTGGTAGATCAAGTCCGACCAGCTCAGCCGCCCTTAAATTGCCTGTGTTCTACAGAGAGAAGAGACTTTGTGGGTGCTGAGGAGAAACCATATTAAATGATGCCCCCAGGAGCCCAAGAATTGACCTTGGATTCTGCCCCCAGAGAGCCAATCCAGGTAGGCATTGCAAGTGGGACATTGCAAGTCGCAGATGAACTATGCTGGAGTCCAAGAGTTGGGACAGGTAGAGTGAATGGCCTGGTGACTCTCAATGGCTCTGGTGACAGTTCTATGGTTCGAGTTGATCCTAGATATATATGGAAGCCCAGAATAATTTATAATCACCTATCTGAGCTCCCTAGAGCCACACAGACAGGTCAAGTGGGGGCGGGACATAGACTCCTTTATATACGCCACATATATATGCAGTTCTTTCGCATACGTAAAAGCATTGAATACAGCCAGAAGTCAGTGATGGACAGGACCACATCTTGACCAAGACAGCTCAGCTGTGCATACATTTTGCGCTCTATTTAACCATAAACCTCACATCAGGGACCCAAAGATAGAGCTGGAGGTCAGTGAACCTCTTTATTTGTTCTTTTTCCCAATGTGGCCACATGAAATACTCACCCCCTTCTCACTATTGGCAGATTGAGGATGAGTGAATGAGCCTAGTTTTTAAGAGTTACCAAGACCCAGTCTCTCCAGCAACAAAGAGACATTGTAAACACTGCTTCAATGGCACCAGCTCCAAGGTTGGACTGGGGCAGGCAGGGTGTGCCGTGGGGCTCAGTTAAAATCTTAATGGCTCGCTCTCTGTAGTCAAGGGGCACACTGACTTTAAGACAGAGTTCTGGGTCATATCAACCTCAGCTTTTGTGCCAGTTTCTTGAGGGTTTTACTGTCTGTTGTTCAGTCTGCGTTAATGAACTCACCCAGCTGGTGAGCTTGATGAGTACTTTTACGTCATTTACTCCTTTTACTGATAAACAAATAAAACAGCAAGGCTGAGACCAGATTCCAGAGGCTTCCCCGACAGGAGCAGCCATGTGGGATGGTTTGCATTCTTCTGCTGTATTCAAATACATCAGATGCAGCCACAGAGCGCAAAATAAACAGAACCGCTACCGACGGAGATCAAAATTGTGCTCACAACCCACACCCTGGGGCTGCCAGTCGGGCTGTTAAGCGCTTCCCCTTGTCCTAAGTCATCTGTCACTTCTGAGCACTGGCCTCACCCTTGGGTGAGCTTTGCTGCTGTGCCGAAGCCTGTCTTTCTATGGAGGGCTGGGGCATGTCTCCACTCTTCTCTGGAAGCATGACATTGCCCATGATGAACCCAGTCTAGATCTTGGGTTTCATCTGATTTTGCCCCAGCCTGGTTTCCCGGCTCAGTACACGGGGGCAAAGGAGAGCCCTCGGCAGCCCCCTGCTCCTCTTCTCCATCATTCGGAGACGTCTGTGGCTGGGAGACCGGGAGGACCAGACCGCAGTTCGGTGCCTTCCACAGCCAAGGAGCAGGTGTGCCGGATAACACATGAAGAAGGGCGGAGAGGGCTTGATCACCCAGCCTGGGCACGTGTTCTGCGAGGGCACCGCAGAGGCAGGAAGGAAACCTGGACAGGGTGGCTGAGAAAGAGGATCTCTGGGAGCAACTGAAGAGCCTGCAGTGTTTTGAAGGAGAGGCTCAAGCTGTTCAGACCGAAAACGGAATAAACAGGACTGAGACCAAACCCAGAGGCTTCCTGAAAGGGAGCAGCCTAGTGATTTAATGCCCCATTAAATATGAATCTCAGATCAACAAATAATAATTTTACTAGCATGAATATGTCCCAAATATTGAATGAAACATACTTAACCTATACTGAAATCACTTTTTATTAATAATTTTAATAACATGTGAGTGTTTTTCCATTTCTCAATCTCTTTTTGATAATCAGGGAACGTCTGGTATGAGAGAATCATTCAAACCTCAGAAACAGAATCACCCAGTCTCCTCTAGTAGCACTTAGCTCTTAATTGGTTAATCTAAAAAATAGTCTGGCCCCCTTAACAACACTAAACACTCCAATTAAAAAAAAAAATGGCAGGATCCCATTGAAGATATGTTGCCAAGAGCAAGGAGCTACAAGCCAGGCGAAATTCCAGCATGGACAGGAGAGATGGAGAAGAAGTCCCACCCCTAGCCAGGGTACCATAGGCAACTGACAGCTGCTGGGAGAGCAAGCTCGGTTTTCTTTACAAGAGTAGCCCCTGGTAAGCAGGCCACACTCCAGTGGGAGGCCACACATGCAAGAATAAATGGGTCACACAAATGGGACTTGATGGGTGAAGAAGTTAAAAAAAAAAAAAAAAGGGAGGACATAGAGCTGAATGGGTAGGGAAGGGGTGAATCTGGGGGGAGTCAGGGGAGGGGTGAATATGATCAAACACATTGCTCGGAATTCTTAGAGATCTAATAAAGACATAAAAAACCATATAAAGAGCTTCACAGCACATAATTTATCCATGTCAGCTCCACCTACAAGGGCTCTCTTGTTTAAAAGAATGTGTCCAACTCTTAGAAGAGATTTTTTTTCTTTAAGATAGGACATGGCCCATTTTGATCATGTGATAGTTGGTCTGAGCTCACAAATGTCACATGACATCACAGATGTTAGACCTTTTCCACAGATCCTGAACATTTCATCTCATCTCTAGTTTTCTGGGAGCGCCTAGCCTTTATCGGGGCTTCCTTACCTAGGCCCCACATGAAGATGGAAAAATCTGTCAGTGAGACAAACAGCCCAGAAGGCTTGAGATGGCTTGGAGGTGTGTCAGCCTTACTGTGGGGGCAGACTCCACCTGTCACACCCTCAGCACTCTACTGTCCTTTCCCTGACGACTCTGTCACTGACAGAGCATCGAGGGGTCCTGGGTCCTGTTTTCCTGTCCAGTGTGGGACTCTGACCATAAGCAAGCTATGCTGCGGCATTCCCACGGCTTCTGCCAGCACCAGCTGCAAGCCAAGCTCTCCCCCCCCCCAACACTCCCCCAGCGCCTCTCCCCCACACCCAACAACAGCCTCTCACTGTGGCCTCAGCACCGACTTCCAGCCTCCACTCCTTCGCCATTCACAGGAATTTCCCCCACAAATCACTCATACTTCTGTTTGGTGTGTGCTTCTTGGAGAATCCAAATTTGCCATCACACCAGAACACTTTTTACGTAACATGATCTCTTTTCACTGGGTTCTTTTTTAAACTCAATGCACTTGGCGTCAACTTGAGCAATAAATCTGCTTGCAAAAAGGGTTTATTTGTGTGTGTGTGTGTGCGCCCACAGAAACCAGAGGCATCAGGTCCCCTGGGGCTGGAGCTGCAGGCAGTTGTGAGCCCCCCAGTATGGGCACAGGAACTGAACCCGGGTTCTCTACAAGAGTGCAACTTGCTCTGAACCACTCTCTAGCTTGCAAAAGTCTATGCTGATCTAAAGTATAATATGTTAATATGCTTTGAAGATTTGTACAATTCTGGTTTTTTGTTTTAGACCAGTTTTCTCTGCTTAGTCCTGGCTGTCCTGGAACTTACTATATAGATCAGGCTGGCCTTGAAATCACAGAGATCCTCTTGCCTCTGCCTCATGAATGGTGGGATTAAAGGCATGTATTACCAAGCCTGGCTGAATATATGCATAACTATCATATGTACTTGTATATATGGTATATAACTATATAGATGATAAATATATATAATACATGTAAGTCTCATAATATATGAATATACAATCATTCTTTAAATGTGAATATTCAAATATGAGTCACTGAAGTCATCTTCTGTGCCACCAATATGTGCACATAAATCATTTGGAAACTGTTTCCTATGTTATACTGCTGGCAAAATACTAAATTAGTGTGTAGGCAGAAATAGAATTGAAATAGTAGTTGACATGTTCCAATGTGTTCATGAATGAGAGGAATCAGTGTCCAGGGAAAAATCTACAAGAAAAACTTTCTGTACAACAAGAAATAAACAAAACTAAAAAGTGGCTCAGAGGTCCAGCCGGATTCTCGCCAAGCGAGTGAAACCGACAGGCATTTGCCGCTGTTTTGTGCAGTGTTCCGAGTGCAGGGGTTTTGAGGACGCCACTGACTCGGGTTCTTCCAGCTGTATGAATCACCCCAGCTTCTCATTCATCTTTTAGAGAACTTTAAACCGGGTCGCAGTTCTGAACACGGGTTACAGGGCTTTGCTCTGTACCGATGGGTAAAGCCCTGCTCTCGGACCACGGCAGCCCGGCCACCATTTCTGTGCGCGCGCGCGGCATCTCTGCCAGCTTGGCTGTACTGCAGGTCACGCTCCCCTGCTGGTGGTCTGATGGACACCGTATTTTCTAAAATGGGGATTAAGAATCGGCTCACCAGGGCTGCATCTGGACAGGGAGAGGTAAAGACATAGAGGGGGTCCTCTGCCCTGGAAGAGTGTGTGCTGAGGAAGCCTGGGCTATTGACCATTGAAGAGGGACAAGACAGTCGTCACACCACAGCCCTCCGTCACTAACCCTAGTCATTCAAAGAATGGCAACTGTTACTTGTTCACAGCCTTTTCTCCCCTACAGAGCACCTGTGAATAGCATGACGATGGCAAGCTAAATCACAGAGGAGGGAAATACCTTCTGAGAATCATCAACATCCATGGGCCCCCAGGACCCCGCAAACCATGGCAAGCTAAATCACAGAGGAGGGAAATACCTTCTGAGAATCATCAACATCCATGGGCCCCCAGGACCCTGAAAACTATGGCAAGCTAAATCACAGAGGA